CTCTCATGTTCTGTCATCCTCTCTGATATTTCCCACTCATTTTTGCTCCTTTCCCCTTTAATCCTTTTCATATTTTTTATATTCCCTGTATGAATGAAACATATAATGTTTGTCCTTCTCTGATTGACTTACTTCACTCAGCATAATACCCTCCAATTCCATCCATGTTGAAACAAATGGTGGGTATTCGTCATTTCTAATGGCTGAGTAATATTCCATTGTATACATAGACCACATCTTCTTTATCCATTCATCTTTCGATGGACACGGAGACTCCTTCCACAGTTTGGCTATTGTGGACATTGCTGCTGTAAACATCGGGGTACAGGTGTCTCAGTCTTTCACTGCATCTGTATCTTTTTTTTTTTTTTTAAATTTACGATAGTCACACACACACAGAGAGAGAGAGGCAGAGACACAGGCAGAGGGAGAAGTAGGCTCCATGCACCGGGAGCCCGACGTGGGATTCGATCCCGGGTCTACAGGATCGCGCCCTGGGCCAAAGGCAGGCGCCAAACCGCTGTGCCACCCAGGGATCCCTGCATCTGTATCTTTAGGGTAAATCCCCAGCAGTGCAAGCTACGACCTAGCAAGGTCGTAGGGCAGTTCTATTTTTAACTCTTTGAGGAACCTCCACCCAGTTTTCCAGAGTGGCTGCACCAGTTCACATTCCCACCAACAATGCAAGAGGGTTCCCCTTTCTCCACATCCTCTCCAATGCTTGTTGTTTCCTGCCTTCTTAATTTTCCCCATTCTCACTGGTGTGAGGTGGTATCTCATTGTGGTTTTGATTTGTATTTCCTTGATGGCAAGTGATGTGGAGCATTTTCTCATGTGCTTGTTGGCCATGTCTATGTCTTCCTCTGTGAGATTTCTCTTCATGTCTTTTGCCCATTTCATGATTGGATTGTTTGTTTCTTGGGTGTTGAGTTTAATAAGTTCTTTATAGACCTTGGATACTAGCCCTTTATCTGATAGGTCATTTGCAAATATCTTCTCCCATTCAGTAGGTTGTCTTTTAGTTTTGTTAACTGTTTTTTTTTTTTTTGTGCAGAAGCTTCTTATCTTGATGAAGTCCCAATAGTTCATTTTTGCTTTTGTTTCTCTTGCCTTCATAGATGTATCTTGCAAGAAGTTACTGTAGCCAAGTTCAAAAAGGGTGTTACCTGTGTTCTCCTCTAGGATTTTGATGGATTCTTGTCTCACATTTAGATCTTTCATCCATTTTGAGTTTACCTTTGTGTATTGTGTAAGAGAATGGTCTAGTTTCATTCTTCTGCACATGGCTGTCCGATTTTCCCAGCACCATTTATTGAAGAGACTGTCTTTTTTCCAGTGGATAGTCTTTCCTGCTTTGTTGAATATTAGTTGACCATAGAGTTGAGGGCCCATTTCTGGGTTCTCTACTCTGTTCCAGTGATCTGTGTGTCTGTTTTTGTGCCAGTACCACATTCAATGAGAGCCTTGCTGGATATAGTATTCTTGGCTGCATGTTCTTCTCATTTAGTTCCCTGAATGTATCTTGCCAGCTCTTTCTGGCCTGCCAGGTCTCTGTGGAGAGGTCTGCCGTTAATCTAATATTTCTCCTTATATAAGTTAGGGATCTCTTGTCTCTCGCTGCTTTAAGGATTTTCACTTTATCTTTGAATTTGCAAGTTTCACTATTAAATGTCAAGGTGTTGAATAGTATTGATTTTTGTGAGGGGGACCTCTCTATCTCCTGGATCTGAATGCCTGTTTCCCTTCCCAAATTAGAGAAATTCTCAGCTATGATTTATTCAAATATGCTTTCTGGCCCTCTGGCCCTCTCAGCACTCTCTGGAACCCCAATTATACATAGATTTTTCCTTCTGAGGCTATCATTTGTTTCCCTTAACCTTTCCTCATGGTCTTTTAATTGTTTTTTTTTTTTTCTTTTTTCCTCAGCTTCCTTCCTTGCCATCAACTTGTTTTCTATGTCACTCACTCTTTCTTCTACCTCATTAACCCTCGTCATTAGGACCTCCAGTTTGGATTGCATCTCATTTAATTGACTTTTAATTTCAGCCTCATTAGATCTAAATTCTGCAGTCATGAAATCTCTTGAATCCTTTATGCTTTTCTCCAGAGCCACCAGTAGCTTTATAATTGTGCTTCTGAATTGGCTTTCTGATATCGAATTGTAATCCAAATTCTGTAACTCTATGGCAGAGAGCTCTGTTTCTGATTCTTTCTTTTGTGGTAAGTTCTTCCTTCTAGTCATTTTGCTCAGTGTAGAGTGGCTGAGTCAAGAATATCAACCCCGATCTAAGTAGATTTCACCCTAGATGATTCTTACAAGGTCAGAGACCAGAAATTGAAAACAAAGATCAGAATGAAATAAAACAAAAGGACCACTAAAGTGAAAAACAAATTTTAAAACAAAGTAGTAAAAAATAAAAGGCCAAGAATCCCAAAGAAGAAAAGAAAAAGAAAAAGGAAAAAAAGAAGAGAATAAAAGCAAAAGTAAAGAGGAAAAGAAAAAGAGAGGAGGAAAAAAGTGGGGGGGACTGGGAGATGATAGTGGTGATGAAGTTGTAGTGGAGGGAGAATGTAGTCTACCTGGGGGTCCCAGAGGGTGGTCCTCTTGGTTCTGAGTATATTAAGTTCTGTATGTTAGAAGACGCTCAGTCCCAAATTTATATAAACCAGAAATACTTGTAGAAACCCTTACCCTTGACCACCAAAACATAAATGAGATAAAAGAGGGGGGCAAAATGGGAATGAAGAGAAAATATAATCTCACAGAATGAACCAGCACGGTATACCACTTGGTTCTGGGTGCATGCTGGTCATGTTTTAGAAGGTACTAACTTCCACCATTGTAGAAGAAAATGAGGCAGAGAAAACAAAAAACACAAAACCAAATAAAATAAAATAAAATAAAATCTTGTATATCAAGATTAACTCAAAATTAAGTTGAGTATGTTGAAGGGAATCTAGAAGTGGAAAATATATCTAAGACCTATAATTGTAGTAATATGAAAGTCAAACAGGAAGAAACTGAAAAATGAAGAGGTGGTAAAATATTGTAGTTAAGGTGGGAAAAGAGAACAAAAATTGGAAATTTAGTCTGATATAAAAAGTAGTTGTACTGGAAAAAGGAAAAAAAAAAAAAACAAGGAGGGGTGCCCTCTAGTTCTATATACTGTAAATCCCTTGACTTCCCCTGGAGCTTTCCAGCGCTGCTGGGTCAAGAACTTGCTCTTCCCCTGTCCTTCCAGCTGGTCTTCTGGGGAGGGGCCTGCTGTGCTGATTCTCAGGTGCATGCACCTGGGGGAGCTGCCCCGCCCCCCGCTGGGTACCGGGCTCAGTGGGAGCTGGTTACCCCGTGAGGCCCCTGTTCCCTGGCATTCCTGCTCTGTCCCAGGCACACAGTGACACCTGGAGGAACAACAGCACTGTCGGGGGCCAGCTCCCCAGCCCTGGAGTCAGCTCCCCCAGTAACTACCACAGTCTCCCAGTCCACACTGGCCTGATGTTGGGTGGGGGGGCGTTGACCTGCACAGCTCGGGGGCACCCAGCAGCAGGAGACTCCGTGCTGTCCTGTGCCCTCCCCACCTCCACCTGTCCCAGGGGAGCACAGGATCCCAGCTGTGTCCCCAGCGCCCTGGGATCTGGGGCCTGTGCTGGAATTGCACTCCCAAGCTCACGCAGCCCCCTCCTCCCCCGGAGCCCCCGCCTGACCCACCGGCTTCTCCCCGAGGCCCCACCGGGTGCGCTCTAGCCCTTTACCGCGCTCGGCCCGCGGGGTGTGGGGCACTCTCCCCCGGGCGCACCTCCTCTGTTAGTGACCCCGGGAGACTGGAGGCCTCACCGCCCCTCCTGGGATGCTGCCTGAGTTCCCTGCTAAGCGCCTTTCCGTCGGGGAAGAATCTGGTGCAGATTTTTAAAGTTCCCGCTTCTCCAGGGCTGGGCCTTCCTGTCCTGGAGGCTCTCCCAGGCCTTAGCCCGGCTGCTCTGGGGGGCCCCTCCCCTACTTGATTCTGTTTTATTTTTTTCCACCTTCCTACCTTGTTAGAAGCGAAAACCCTTCTCTCTGTAGCGTTCCGGCTATTCTCTCTTTAAATCTAAGGTTGAATTCGTATGTATTCAGGATGGTTTGAAAGTTATCTAGGTAAGTTGATGGGGACAGGTGAGTTGGGGACCCTACTCCTCCACCACTTTGCCCCGCCTCCGAGAGGGTTCCTCTTTCTTCACATCCTCACCAATATCTGTTATTTTCTGAAGGGTCAATTTTAACCATTCTGAACAGTGTGAGGTGGTCTCTCATTCTAGTTTTGTTTTTAATTTCTCTGATCCCAAAGGGATGTTGAGCATTTTTTTTATGTTGTCCATTTGTAGGTCTTCTTTGGAGAAATGTCTGCTCATGTCTTTTGCCCATTTCTTGACTGTACTTTTTGTTCTTTGTGTGTTGAGTTTGGTAAGTTTTTCATAGATTTTAGATATTAGCCCTTTATCTGATACGGCATTTACAAATGTCTTCTCCGATTTTGTTGGTTGTCTTTTGCTTTTTGTCAACTGTGTCCTTTGCTGTGCAAAAAATTTTTATCTTGATGAAGTCCCGATAGTTCATATTTGCCTTTGTTTCCTTTGTCTTTGGAGACGTGTCTAGCAAGAAGTCGCTAGTGGCCAAGGTCACAAAGGTTGCTGCTTGTGTTTTTCTTTAGGATTTTGGTGGATTCCTGTATCACATTTAGATTGTATCACAATTTTTCATTCATTTTGAGCCTATTTTTTGGTATGGTGTTAGAAAACGGTCCAGTTTCATTCTTCTCTGTGTGGCTGTCCAAATTCAAACACCATTTGTTGGCGAGAGGGCCTTTTTCCATTGGATATTTTTTTCCTGTGTGTTTGAAGATTAGTTGACCATAGAGTTGAGGGTCCATTTCCAGGTTCTCCATTAATCGATATGTCTGTTTTTTTTTAAAGGATTTTATTTATGTATTCATGAGAGACACACAGAGAGAAGCAGAGACATAGACAGAAGGAGAAGCAAGCTCCTCCCAGGGAGCCCGATGCAAGACTTGATCCCTGGACTGGGATCATGCCCTGAGCCAAAGGCAGATGCTAAACCACTGAGCCACCCGGGCATCCCTATATATCTGTTTTTGTGCAGGTATCATACTAGCTTGATGATTACAGCTTTGTAATACACTTTGAAATCTGGAATTGTGGTACCATCAGCTTTGGTTTTCTTTTTCAACATTCCTTTGACCATTCAGGGTCTTTTCAGTTCCATACAAATTTTAGGATTATTTGTCCCAGCTTTACAAAAAAAGTTAATGGTATTTTGAAAGGGATTGCATTGAGAGTATGGATTACTCTAGACATTTTAATAAAATATTTGTTCTTCCAGTTGGAGGGACAAATCTGTGGGGGATCTGAACCTTCTCCACTCCCATTTAAGGGTATCACACTGATGTATAGGACACACTGACATTAATATTCCTGCCATGTGCCTAACACTATATATCAACAGATTATATTTCATTTAACTATCACAACAACCCTACAAAGTAGGTATTTTTGTTCTATCTGTTTTACAGAAGGAGAAACTGAGGATTGGAGAGTGTGTCTTGCTCAAGATCACTGAGCTGGTAAGAAAAGAAATAACTTTGAATTATTGACATATTTTTATCATTTCCATAGGCTTCTATGTATTTTTACAAAATTGTAGACCCTGGATCTCCTTTAGCTGAGAGGCTTTTAGGTTGAGAAGCTTTAAAATAGGTCATAGAGATACCTGGCTTAGTTGGTGGAGCATACGACTCTTGATCTTGGGGTTGTGAGTTCGAGTTCCACATTGGGTATAGATATTACTTTACAAAATTAAATATAATCTTTAAAATAGGTCATGAGGGATTCCCATGTGGCTCACCGGTTTAGCGCCTGCCTTCAGCCCAGGTCATGATCCCAGAGTCCTGGAATCGAGTCCTGCACCAGGCTCCCTGCATGTAGCCTGCTTCTCCCTCTCCTCTCTCTCTCTTTCATGAATAAATAAATAAAATCTTAAAAAAAATAGGTCATGAATGCTCTGAGGAACTTAATCTTATTTTCATTAGAATTACTAATATAAGATTAACCCAATTTATTGTCTCACCTCTTTAACCCCCAACCTGATCCAGAACTAATCCTCAAAGAGTTATATTTCCATTGCCTGTCAATTCAGGCCTTAAAAAGAGTGTGATAAATTTCACTTTGTAATGATGTATATAATCTTTTGGATTCTGTTTCATAGTATTTTGTTGAGAATTTTTATGTCTGCACTCATAAGAGATATTGATTTGTAGTTTTCTTATCTTGTCATATCTTCATCTGGTTGAGATGGGGTAATATTGGCCTTATAGACTGAATTGGGAAATTTTCTTACTTCTGTTTTTTAGTAGAGTTTGTGAAGAATTGATGTTAATTTCTCTTTAAATATTTGGGAGAATTTACTGGTGAAGTGACTTCGGTGTGGGCTTTTCTTTGTGGGAAGATTTTTGATTATTAATTAAATCTTTTTACTTCCTATATCTCTATTTAGATTTTCTTGTCTTTTTTTTCTTGAGTCAGTTTTGTAGTTTGTACTATTCTTGGAATTTGTCCATTTTATCTCGGTTATTTTACTTGTTGGCATACATTTGTTCATAGTATTCCCTTATAATTCTTTTACTTCTATACGGTTGTTAGTAATGTCCTCTCTTTCATGCTGGATTTAGAGACCTAATATTTATTTAGGTCAGTTTAGCTAAAGGTTTGTCAATATTTGGATCTTTTAGAAGTTCAAATTTTTTTCTATCGGTTTTCTATTCTCTATTCATTTATTTTCACTCTACTCTTCATTATTTTCTTCTTTATGCTTACTTTAGTTTGCATTTCTTTTTCTAGTTTCTTAACTTAAAAGATTAGGTTATTAATTTAGAATAAGCATTTACAGATAATTTCCCTCTAACCATGCCTTTCCTGTATCTCATTTTTACTGTTTCATTTTTGTTAATCTCAACATGCTTTCTAATTTCTCTTGTGATTTCTTTTTTGATCCTTTGGTTATAAAGGAGTATGATGCTTAATTTCCATGTATTTATGAATTTCCCATATTTTCTTTATTTACTGACTTCTAATTTAATTTCATTGTGTGATTGGAAGACATGCTTTGTATGATCAAAATCTTTGTTAACTTATGGAGGCTTGTTTTATGATCTAGCACATGGTCTATCCTGGAGAATGTTCTGTGTGTATCTGAAAAGAATATATATTCTGTTGCTTGGGTAGAGTGTTATCTAGATGTCTGTTATGTCTAGTTAGTTTATAGTGTTTTCAGGTCTTCTATTTCCTGTTGGATCTTCTACTTAGTTGTATTATCCATTCTTGAAGTCTCCAATTGTTATTACTGAATTGACCATCTCTCTTTGTACTTTTGTCACCTTTTACTTGATGAATTTTAAGTTATTGTATGTATAGATGTTTAGAACTGTCATTTATTTCTGATAAATTTACCTTTTTGTCATTACAAAATGTTCTTTTGTCTTATTTTGTGATATTAGTATAGTCACTCCAGCTCTCTTCTGGTTACTCTATGCATTATATCTCTTTTCTCATCCTTTTATTTTCAACTTATTTTTGTCTTTGATTCTAAAATATGCCTCCTGGAAGGACAAACATTATATGGTCTCATTCATTTGGGGAATATAAAAAGTAGTGAAAGGGAATAAAGGGGAAGGGAGAGAAAATTAGTGGGAAATAACAGTGAGGGTGACAGAACATGGGAAGCTCCTAACTTTGGGAAATGAACAAGGAGTGGTAGAAAGGGAGGTGGGTGGGGGGTTGGGGTGACTGGGTGACCAGCACTGAGGGGGGCACTTGATGGGATGAGCACTGGGTGTTATGCTATATGTTGGCAAATTGAACTCCAATAAAAAATATACAAAAAAAATAAAATAAATAAAATAAAATGCCTCCTGTAAGCAGCATATTGAAGGATCATGTTTTTTTTTCTTCATTTTTCCAAATCCTGCCTTTTCATTGGAATGTTTAATCTATTTATATTTGTTTATTTATTTAGGAATGTTTAATATATTTATATTTAAACTAATAACTGATTTGGTAGGATTCATATCTGTCATTTTGCTCTTTGTTTTCCATATTTATTATTATTATTCTATATTTTTTCCCCTCTATCTCTCTGTTAGTCTCTGTTTCATTTTTTATATTTTCTAGTGTACCATTTTAATCCTCCCTCCTTTTTAAACTCCACTATTTGAGTCATTTTCTTAGATATTGGTATGGGGATTACAATGAACAAGTTATAACAGTTATTGGAATAATGCCAATTTAATTTCAATAGTATACAAAAATTTGTTCTTATATAAGTTTGTTCCATCTCCCATTTTTGTGCTATTAGTTGACATACAAATTGTATCTTTGTGCATTATAGTCATATCTAATTATTGCTTTATGTAATTGTCTTTTAAATTAGGAGAAAACAGTTATAAATAAAAATATATTTATACTGTCCTTTATGTTTATCAATGTCATTAGCTTTACTGGTGTTCTTTATTCCTTTATGTGGCTTCTACTTACTGTCTAATGTCCTTTCATTTCAGCCTGAAGGACTATCTTAATATTTCTTATAGGACAGATCTGTAGTGATGTATTCTCTCAGTTTTTGTTTATCTGGAGATATCTTAACTTCTTTGCTTTTGAAGGATAGTGTTGGATATAAAAATTCTTGGTTGAAAGTCTTTTTCCTTAAGCACTTTGAATGTTATTTCAGTCTTATGGCCTCCGTAATTTCTCATGGGGAGTCAGTTGTTATTATTGTAGGTCCTCTGTACGTAATAAATCATTCCTCTTGCTTCTATAAAGACTATGTCTTTGTTTTTGTCTTTTAATCGTTTGACTATGGTGTGTCAAGTGTGGATCTGCTTGGAGTTCCTTGAGCTTCTTGGATGTGTAGATTTTTGGTTTTCATCAAATTTGGGAGTTTCTTGTCCCTTATTTCTTCAAATAGTTTTTGTGTCCCCTCTTCTCTTTCTTTCTGGGACTCTAATCATGTGAATGTTGTTACACTTAATTGTGTATTACAGGTCTCTGAGACATTGTTCATTTTTCTTCATTATGTTTTCTTTCTATTCCTCAGACTGGATAATATCTAATAACCTATCTTTAAGTTTTTTGATACTTTGTTCAACCAACTCAAATTTGTTGTTGAGCCCCTCTACTGATTTTTCCTCTTTTTTTCCCCTTCTACTGATTTTTCATTTCGGTTTTTGTGCTTTTCGACTCCAGAATTTCTATTTGGTTCTTTTATTTATTTGTTTTAATAATTATTCTTTTAAAAATATTTTATTTATTTACTCATAAGAGACACAGAGAGAGGCAGATTCATAGGTGGCAGGAGAAGCAGGCTTCTTGTGGGGAGCCTGATGCGGGACTTGTTCCCAGGATACTGAGATCACAACCTGAGCCAAAGGCAGATGTTCAACCACTGGCTGAAGGCCATCCAGGTGCCCCTTAAAAAATTACTCTGTAGTGGTATTATTTATCTGATGAGATGTTGTTCTCATATGTTCCTTTAATTGTTTAGACAATGATTTTCTTTAGTTCTAGGAGTATATTTATAGTAGCTGATTTGAAATCTTTGTCTAATAAGTCCAACATTCGAGCACTATCAGGGACAGCTTCCATTAGCTGTTTTTTATTTTCTTAGTATGGATCATACTTTCCTATTTCTTTGCATGTCTTATAATCTTTTAAACAAATATTGGATATTTAAAATAATACAATGTGGCAACTTTGAAAATCAGACCACCATTCCCACCAACCAGATGGTGATTATACTTGCTATTTGTTTCCTGAACTAATTATATAAAGACTTTCCTGAACTAATTCTATAAAGTCAATATTTTCTGTTGTATGTGGCCACTGAAGTCTTTGCTCAGTTAATTTAATGACAAGCTAATGATTGGACAGAAATGTCCTGAAATGCCTTGAACTGGAAAGTCTCTTAGCCTTTGCTCAGGGGTTTTCTACACATGTTGGGACATATTTTCAGGGACACTTATAGGCAGTTTTTACAACCCTTCCTTAGCTCCTACTTTCTGTTTGTACAGAATCTTAAGGCTAACCAGAGGTGAAAATATTAGGGCCTCTCAGACCTTTCCTGACATACTCACAACTCTGTACATGTATGTGGCCTATTAGATTCCCAGGAATATAATGAACTTTTCAAAGCCCCTAGGAACTTCTTGTTCATCAGCTTTTCCTGTACATTTTTTTCAAGTCAGGCTCTTATTTGCCTAACTGTTAGATAGCTGCAATGTTAAATAATTGCCATGCATTTTGTGTATATGTGACAAACACTATTGGGAAAAGACTAGTCCACTGAGCAAGTTCTGAGTTAGATTAAATAAAAATAAGCCCTATTAGTGGGATTTCCAGGAAGCCCTCACACAGGTTATATAATGGCAATTTTTTGGGAATTGAGATTTTTGGGAGTGCTAAATTTGTTCTGCTGTCCCCAGGGACTTCTAGGCTGTTGGAATAAATAGCTGCTATGATTGCAAGATTGTTGGGTTTTAAAACTACTATGGGGATGGGAAAAGGGAAAATAAAA